CGACGACAGCGACGCGTTCGCCGACGAGTTCGTCGACTTCTCGGACGACGACGACGCCTTCGACGGCGACGAGGAGCTCGAACGCGCCGTGCGCAAGCGGTCCATCGACATCGACGACGACGCCGTTAAGCGCCTCGCCGCGGACGGCTCCGACGACGAGTCCTCGGAGGACGAGCCCGCGCCGCCGCCCGCGAAGAAGAAGAAGAGCGCGGCGAAGAAGAAGAAGCTCGCGGCGAAGAAGGGCCGATAGGCCGGCCGCGCGCATAAGACGTCCGAAAGCACGCTGCTTTTGAAGCCTGGGCTCCACCGGTGGGACGTCGAGGGACGCGCCGGATCGATCTCCGAACTCCGACCCTCTCCGGGGCGGCTGCTTACGCGCGGCTAGGCCCGCTTCGCGGGCACGTCGTCCCAGGAGAGCGGCGGCGCGCCGTCGCCGCGCTCGAGGTGGGCCTGGAGCTTGCGGACGGCGCGCTTGCCCATGGACGGGTATTTCGACGCGACGAAGGTGAGGTAGGCGACGGTCCGGACGACGATCGGCGACGTCGCCATCGCGGCCGGCGACCGGCCGACGAGGAGGAAGAGCTTCGCGTCGACGGCGACGCAGCCGAGCGCGCAGCCCGCGGCCATGAGCGTGAAGATGAGCACCTTGTAGGCGAGCTCGAAGGACACGACGGCCCGCGACCGGAAGAGTCGCCGCGTCGCCCCGACGGACTGCCAGCACATGATCGACTCGTTGAGCGAGCTCATGAAGGCGAGGCCGTCGATGAAGAGGAGCCACGTGTGGCGGTCCGGCAGCGCCACCGCCGGCTCCCAGTCCCAGCCCGCGAGGTAGGGCGCCGCGAAGGGGATCATGAGCACGAGCACGGGCACGTGGTGCCCGACGATGTCGCCGCCGGACCGGCAGCGCGACAGGGGCACGACGCCGAGCGCGCCGATGGCGAAGAGGTCCCAGCAGTACGACACGACGCAGCAGGCGCTCAGGCGCGCGATCTCCTCGAGGCCCGGCGCCTACCAAGTGCGTCGGTGACGACGTTTTCGTTTCAAAAGCTCTCGAACATAGTCGTGGCTGCAAGGACGCTGCCCGGCGCCAGGGGCGTGTCGTGGAAGCCGAAGATGTTGCCCAATGCGATGCCAAAGCACTTCGTCGCCTGGAGGAAAGCGCCGAAGTGCAGCACGCCGGCGACGGCGCAGACGGCGCTCTTCGACGCCGGCGGGTCGCGCTGCGGCGCGAGGGTGGGGGCACGGCACATCGTTCTCGCCAGCCCACGTCGACACGGAGATACTGTAACCGCAATGTTTGGTGCTCTTCGCCAAAGGAGCAGCTCCTGTGGCAAGAAGTCGTCGCAGTCCAGCCGCCTACGCCACTCGTCGTGCGCTGTCCACTGCACACACAGAGGCACGATGCTGCTGCGTCGAGGCCTCCGCCATGCAATTCGACGCCCCGCGGCGCCGCGCGTCCAGAGAAGCGCCAGCTCCCAGCGCAACGCAACGACGACAGCCCTCCCGGCCGCGCTGGGCCTCCTCGGCCTCGGCGGCGCGTCGGCCTGGTGCCTGTCCATCGAGGACTGGTCGAAGCGCGTCGACGACCCGGCGCTCGAGGCCACGTTCGAGGGCTGGACTAGGGCCGACGCGGCGATCGTCAAGGACGGCCTGGCCGCGAACAGCGCCATCTACGACGCGCTCGGCGCGCGGACCGAGGGCCTCCGCCAGTACAAGATCTTCGCGAAAAAGGACGGCTCCGCCGTGTCCGCGATCGCGACCTTCGGCGACTGCTGCGTCGGCCACCCGGGCGTCGTCCACGGCGGCGTCACGTCGCTCCTCTTCGACAACACGCTCGGCTGGGCCAACGCCTACTCCGTGCTCGGCGAGCGCGGCGCGGACCTCGAGGCCGCCGCGCTCCGGAAGTCGAGCACGAAGCTCTTCGGCTTCACGGCGAACCTCCACGTCAACTACCGCAAGCCCGTCTTCGTCGGCACGACCGTCGTCATCGAGTGTGCGCTCGACCGCGTCGAGGGCCGGAAGCGGTTCCTCCAGGGGAAGATGACCTGCGCCAAGACCGGCGCGCACCTCGCCGACGCCACGGCCCTCTTCGTGCTCCCGCGCTCGTAAGCGCCAGTAAGCGCCCGCGTTAGGAACACCGGGCGGCCTAGGGCGCGACCTTGGACCGCTGGTGCTGCGGGAAATTCGTGACCGCGGGCTGGGACCGGTACGCGCCGATGACATAGGGGAACGCGGGGACGACGTCGTCGCCCTCGAGGCGCACCGTCGCGTAGTAGCGCCAGACGCCGTCGGCGCCCGTCGCGCCGTTGCAGGCGTCCAGATCGCCGCTGCCCGCGACGAAGACGGGGTCGCCCGCGGACACGTCGAGCGGGCCGACGAAGGACGGCCGCGCGAGCCGGACCTCGCCGCCGAAGACGCCGATCGGGCCCATGATGGGGTGGCCGTCGAAGGCGACGCCGATGCACTTGGACGGTTCGCCGCGCGCGATCTGCTCGGCGAGCGCCTTCGCGAGCGGCGCCGCCGTGAGGTCCGCGTCGTCCTTGAGCGCCGCGATGAGCGCGTCGGGCGCGTCGAGGCCCAGCGCGGACGCCCCGACGACGCAGCGCGGGTACTGGTGGTAGTGGCTGCGACGGGAGGGAAAGGGGTCGCGGCGATGAGACGCGCGAAACGGAGGCGCCGCGGGAACGCGCTACTGGCCCCGGCCGTCCGGGTGGCCGCAGCATTGGTCGAAGGACTCGTCCTGGTTCGCGAACATGCCCTCCGGGAGCTTGGGGTTCGTGTACTGCATGTCGCCTGAGAGTACATCCACTTCGCTTTATCGCACACAGAGGAACCTCGTTCGCCGCAACGCGCCGTGGTAGATCGGGACGCCGTTCAGCGCGATGCCGATGGGCCTGCGCGGGGATCGAGCGGCTTCTTCGAGGAGGTTCCGGGCGGAGCGTGACGCACCCCATCGGCGTCGCCGTGATCGGCGTCTCCAGCGGCGCGCCGGGCACGACGGGCACGCGGAAGCGGTAGTCCTGGGCGACGATCTTGTTCGGGTTCCGGTCCAGCCGCCCGCTGCGGCAGAGGCCCTGCCAGTCGCTCTCGACGGCGACGCCGCCGCTGATCTTCCGCGGCGCGTAGTCGGGCACGCCGTTGCACATAAAGAGCAGCTCGTCGCCGGTCTCGCGGACCTCGACGCGGTTGTAGAGCGTCTCGCCGTCGGCGCAGAGCACGGGCGCCTTCGGGGCCGCGGCGAGCGCCGCGGAGCCGACGAGCGCCGCGCCGAGGCCGTGCCAGCTTGCCGCGTGGCCCTCGTCCAGCGGCCGCGCCGACGCCCAGGCGCGGTCGAAGTCCGCGACCTCGGACGGGTCCGCCGCCGCCGCGGGCATGGAGTCGCCGCCGCGGCCGCCGCGGCCGCCGCCGAAGCCGCCGCCGCCGCCGCCGAAGCCACCGCCGCCGCCGCGGCCACCGCCGTAGTCGCCACCACCGCGGCCGTAGCCCTTGCCGCCCTTGCCGCTTCCCTTGCCGCCTCCATAGCCGCCGCCCTTGCCATAGCCGCCGCCTTGCCAGCCCTGTCCGTCGTAGTTGCTCATCGTGTGGCGCGAGGGCGTAGAGCGGGGCAGCCTTGCAATTCGCTGAACTTGCAGTCAAACATGTGTTCAACCAAGGCCCTCCGCGACCCCGCGGATCTCGACGCGTCTCGCCGCTTCCTCATGTTACGTCCCCCCCCGCGCCGCGTCGTCGTCGTCGGCCTTGGGCCGGTCCCAGGTCGTCCGCTGCGTCGCCGCGTGGTAGAAGTAGGCGTAGCCGTTGGCCTCGTCGACGACGCGCGCCCAGCCCGGCGGCAGCGCGTCCGGCTCCTCGGCCGGCGCGGCGGGCGCGTCCCACTGGACTTTGCCCGACGCCGCGTGGTGGTAGTAGTGTTTGCCCGACGCCGCGTCGAGCGTCGCGGCCCAGCCCGGCGGCAGCGGCGGCGCCGGTCGCGGCGCGGGCGCGGGCCGCGCGGTCTGAGCCGGCGGGAGGCGGGGCACGGGCTTGGCCTGGGGCGCGTGGCAGTAGCCCCCGGCGTTCGACGTGGCCTGCTGGTCCTTGGCCCAGCGCACCTGGATGATCTCGCCGCCGTCGACGCGGAGGCCCTGGCCCGTCATCGCCTCCTTCGCGAATTCCGCGGCGGCGCGCGCGGCGTAGGTGACGAGCGCCCAGTGGCCCTTCGTGCCGTCGAGGATGACGCGCGTCTCGACGACCTCCCCAAAGGCGCCGAAGGCCTTGCGCACGGCCGCGTCGAGGTCGCCCGCGACGGACCGCGACCTCGCGCCCGCGCCGCCGCAGAGCTCCGTGCGCTTCTTGGGCGGCGCGCGGAGGCCGGAGACGTGGAGCGTGCAGTTGCCCGTCTCCATTGCGCCCTCCTCCTTCTTGCCGTGGTGCCGCTCCCAGGCGCTGAGGAGCAGCGATCTCTTTCGTCCGAAGACGTCGTACGTCGCGTTCAGCACTTCCCCGTCGTCGTCGTCGTCGCGCCGCGGGATCTCGTGGCGGTGCGTGCACGCCGGGCCGTCGGGGCAGCGGCCCCGGGCGAAGTCGAGGCAGAAGAGCCGCGCGCCGTCGGTCGAGCCCTCCGTCGCGCCGCAGTCGAGGTGCGGCACGCACCGCGTCATAGAACGTTTCCGGTGGCTCGGCGTGATGTCGCCCAAACGCGCGAGGCCGCCGGCGTCCTCGTGGCCGTACTGGGACCGCAATTCCCTGAGCTTCTGGCTGTCGAGGCCCATGGACGCCAGGTCCGTGCGCGCGTCGGGCTCGTCCATGGCGCACTCGATCTGCACGCGCGCCAGCTTCCGCGGCGGCTCGCGGACCGCCGCCCCGCCGTAGCCCGCGCTCTCGGGGAGCCGCTTCCCGCCCTCGGCGGCCTCGTGCTGCATGCGCGCGTAGGACTTCATGGCGAGCGGCGCGGTGGCGGGGGACTCTCAAGCGCTCTCAGGCCGGTCCATTGCCACAGCTCGCTCTCGGCCAATCGGGCAATCGCCTCGCGCCACCACCGCCGTCGTCGACGTCCGCGTCGTGCGCCGCGCGCCGGTGAGCCGCCGCCGATCCGGTCCGCGCCGCCGCCGCCGCCGCCGCCGCCGCCGTCCGCGCGCGAAAAAGAAGCGCCGCCGCGCCGTTCCTCGCCTCAGCACACCATGCTGAGCCAGTTCTTCGTGCTGAGCCCGCGCGGCGACACGATCATCTCCAAGGACTTCCGCGGCGACTCGCCCCAGGGCGCCGCCGAGGCCTTCTTCCGCAAGGTCAAGTTCTGGAGCAACGACAAGGGCGCGAGCGGCGCCGCGCCGCCCGTGTTCCGCGTCGGCGACGTCACGTACGTCTGGGTCAAGAAGTCCGGGCTCATGTTCGCGTGCAACTCGCGGTTCAACTGCTCGCCGTCCATGACGCTGGAGCTCCTGAACCGCGTCGTGAAAGTGTTTAAAGATTATTGCGGCGTGCTGAGCGAGGAGGCGATCCGGAAGAACTTCATATTGATCTACGAGCTCCTCGACGAGGTCATCGACTTCGGCTACCCGCAGGGCACGTCCACGGAGAATCTGAAGGCCTTCGTCTACAACGAGCCCGTGCTCGTCGACGCGCAGAAGACGCGCGTGCCGTCGCTGTCCGCGAAGACGACGCCGTCGACGTCCGTGCACAAGCCCATCGCCGGCGGCAAGTCGTCGGTGATGGGCGGCGCGCGGTCCGACAAGAACGAGATCTTCGTCGACATCCTCGAGCGGCTGACCATGCTCTTCTCGCCGTCCGGCGCCGTCGTGAACTCCACCATCGACGGCTGCATCCAGATGAAGAGCTACCTGTCGGGGAACCCCGAATTGCGGCTCGCGCTCAACGAGGATCTCGTGGTGGGCAAGGGCGGCGCCTACGGCGCCGTCGTCTTAGATGATTGCAACTTCCACGAGTGCGTGCGCCTCGACGACTTCGAGTCGTCGCGGCTGCTGAGCTTCCTGCCGCCCGAGGGCGAGTTCGTGGTCTTGAACTACCGGTGCACGGGCGACTTCCGCGCGCCGTTCCGGGTCCTGCCCCAGATCGAGGAGAGTTCGCCGTTTACGATCGACGTCGTCGTCCTCGTGCGCGCGGAGATCCCGGAGACGAACTACGGCGGGAACGTCGTCATCACCGTGCCGTGCCCGCGGACGACGGCCGGCGCGTCGTGCGGCCCGCCGAGCGGCGGCGCGATCGGCCACGGCGCGGACTACGACGCGGCGAACCGCAAGCTCGTCTTCACCGTGAAGAAGTTCCAGGGCGGCGTCGAGCACGCCTTCCGCGCGAAGATCACGCTGTCCGCCGTGTGCACGGCGCAGGCGCGGAAGGAGGTCGGCCCCGTCTCGCTGACCTTCGAGATCCCCATGTACAACGTCTCCAACCTCCAGGTCAAGTACCTCCGCATCGCCGAGCAGTCCAAGGCCTACAACCCCTACCGCTGGGTCCGCTACGTCACGCGGTCCTCGTCCTACGTCTGCCGCTGCTGAGAGGTTGCGCGGGCTTAGGGCGCTCGCCTAGTAATGCGGTAGACGCGGACGTCCCCGCGCGGGTTAGGGCGGTCGCCTAATGCGGTGGACGCAGACGTCCCCGTGGTCGTCAAAAAGGGGGCCCGCGGCGAGGCCCGCGGCGGCGCACGCGGCGAGGAAGGCCGCGAGGACCTCGTCCTCGGCCTCCTGGACGGGCCGTCGATCCGCGTCGAGCTTCCAGGCGCGTCGCGGCTCGTGCGCGAGGAGGCAGACGGCGCTCGGCGCGAGCGCGGAGCTGATCGTCGCGACGAGCGGCGCGACCTGGCAGGTGAGGTAGAGAGCGTCCGCGGCGAGGACCAGGTCCGCACCGGGTGCGTCGACGCCGTAGGCCAGGGGCGCGACAGAGCACACGTCGCCGAGGCCGTTCGCGGCGACGGACAGACGCAGCGCCTCGAGGACGACGGGGTCTTTGTCGGTCAGGAGAACCCTGGACGCGCCGAGCTTCGCGGTCAAGAGGCCCGGCAGACCGCATCCGGCGCCGAGCTCCACGACGGTCTTGCCCACGACGTCTTCCCCCTCGAGCGCGCTCGCGAGCGCCGTCGCGCCCTTCCACAGATCGAGCCCCGTCGCGTCGTCGTCGGTGGCGCCGCCGGCCGGCGGCGCGGCGCCCGCGTCGCCCGCGGCGCGGAGGTGCGTCACGATCTCGTGCGGCCCGAACATCGTCGTCACTCGCTCGAGCCGCGGGCCCTCCGCGACGCGAATCGTCGAGTCGGACTCGAACCGCGAGCCCTCGAGCCGCGGGCCCTCCGGCGGCGCGGCGCGCGGCGGCGGCCTCGGCCGGTCCGCGCGGAGGCCGTCGAGCCTGGCCTCGACGCGTTCGAGCTGCGCGCGCTGGTCGTCGAGCTTGCGCCCGAGGCGGCGCTCCATGTCGCGGCAGCACTTGTCGACGTGCGCCGCGAGGCGCGACTCCGCCGCCGCGAGGAGCCGCACGCCCATCGTCGCCAACATCGCCGTCGACGACGAGTCCGCGGGCGCCGGCGCGGGCACGCTCGCCGCCGCGCCGTCGGCGACGCGGCCCGCGCCGCCGCCGCGCCGCTGGGCGCCGCGTAGCGCGCCTCGACGGCGTCGAGCCGCGCGGTCTGGCCGCCGCCGCGGAGCGACAGCAAGCGGAGCGTCGCCGACTCTGCACCCTTGGGCGCCGCGGAGACGCGGAAGCGGTCAAGGGCGCCGGCGACGGCCTCGCCGCGGATGGTCGAGACGTAGGTGCTGTTGATGTAGAGCTCGACGTTGCGGGCGTTGGACACAATCGCCACGGACTCGAGCGTCGCGCCTGCCGTGCCCGTGAGCATGAGTTCACACTTGCTGTCGTCCGCTGGTTTTGTGAGGACGATCGGTGCTGCGAGGTCGAGTTGGCCGTCGTTCGCGCGTAGCACCACGTCGCCTTCGGACGCCGGCCAGGTGCAGCGCAATATTATTGGCGCAGCCATAGCCCTTTTGCTGTGGTAATCCGCGATTCTTGCCCTTTTCAACCTACAGCTGTGAGATGGCAGGCCGATTCTGGCCGCTCTTCGCGCTCGTCGCGGCGCGCACGCACGCCATCAACCGGCCGAAAGTCCGCGCAACGATCCCCGCGGACGGCAGGGCCCTCGCCTGCGCCTTCGGCGTGCTCGGCGGCTTCGACAAGTGCGTGCAGGTGCTCGCCGAGCGCCGCGTCGTGTCGCGCCGGGCCGCGCGCAAGGTCATGCACATGGGCGCGGGCCCGCTCTACCTGCTCTGCTGGCCCATGTTCAGCGCGTCGCCGAGCGCGAAGCGCTGGGCCGCCGTCGGGCCGCTCGCGCTGACAATGAAAGCTTTCCTCGCCGGCGCCGGTCTCGTCGACGACCCCAAGACCGTGGCGTCCATGAGCCGGTCCGGCGACCGGCGCGAGCTCCTGCGCGGGCCGACGCTCTACGGCGCCGTCTTCGTCGCGGCGACGCTGTGCTGCTGGCGCGAGCTCGGCGGCGTCCTCGCGCTGCTCGCGCTGTGCGCGGGCGACGGCATGGCCGAGGTCGTCGGCGCGTCGCCGCTCGGCGCCGCGTCGCCGCGCGTGCCCTGGTGCCGGCGCAAGTCCCTCGCCGGCTCCGCCGCCTTCTTCCTCTCGACGCTCGGCGCCGGCGCGGCGTTCGGGCTCGCGTTCGCGCGCCTGGGCTGGTGGGCGCCGCTCCCGGCGCGCGCGCTCATCGCGGGCGTCGCCAAGGTCGCCGCCGCGTCGGCCCTCGTCGAGTCCCTCGACACGGGCGACTGGGACAACCCGCTCATCTTCCTCGCCGCCGCGGCGACGGCGAAGCGCGTCTTCCCCTAAAATGAATGTCTTGGTTGAAGTTTTTTACGACTCGGAGGCAGCCCGGGATCGACGTTGGAATGGCGCCGACGACGCCCGCGGCGACGCCGCGCGACCTCGTGCGCGCGGCGCTCGCGTCGTCGGTGCGCAAGGACCTGCAGAAGGCGGCGAAGTCGACGGGCGCGTGCAAGGCGAACGGCACGAACGCGCACATGATCGCGAGCCTCAACGACTGGCTCAAGAGCGAGGCCGAGGCCGACGAGCCGCGGCGCCCGGCGCCGCAGGCGCGGAGCCCGGCGCCGTCCTTCGGCACCGCGACGCCGAGCCCCGTGGCGCCGTCGTGCGCGAGCCTCGGCATCAGCGGCCTCAAGGACGACGCCGCGGCGCCGCGGCGCGACTCGACGGAGAGCCTCCAGGTGACGGACCTCGCGGACGAGCTCGCCAAGGTCGCCGTCGACGACGCGCGCCCGGCCCTCGGCGACGTGGACAACGTCCTCAGCGCGCTGCCCACGGACCGCGGCGCCGCGATCAAGTCGACGGGCCCCGCCGCCGAGTGGCGCGGCACGCATGTCCGCTTCGACTAGGCGCGCGTTATGACTAGGACGCCCTAGCCGACGCGGCGCGCGGCGTCGGCGTCGAACGCCGCCGCCAGGCGCGCGATGTGGTCCGGGAAGATGCCGCAGCAGCCGCCGACGACGGACGCGCCGCTCGCGACCCAGTCCGCGGCGAACGCGAGGTACTCGTCGGGCGACAGGTCGCGGTAGGCGCCCGTGCCCGAGTCCGCCGTGACAAAGCCGTTCGCGTAGGCGCCGACGTGAGCGCCCGGCGGCGCGAGGGCCTTCAGGACGGGGATCGCCGCGGACGTCGCCTCGGGCGAGCAGCAGTTGACGAGGAAGCCCTCCACCCCCTCCAGGACGCCCGCGGCGTCGAGCGCCGCCAGGGCCTCGTCGATGGACTCGCCGCTCCGCAGCGCCGGCGCGGCGCCGAGCGCCGGCATGCGGCCCCCGACGCCGGTCGGCGGCGCGTCGCGCAGCGTGTAGGACACCCACACGGGCCGGTCGCCGTCGACGGCGCGGGCCGCCGCCGCCGCCGCCGCCGCCTCGGCCGCCGTCGACATGGTCTCGCAGAGGAAGAGGTCCGCGTAGGGCGCGACGGACTCGGCGATGAGCGCGTACTGCGCGCGGTTCGCCTCGAAGGCGCCGACCTTGTCCGCGCGGTAGCTCTCGGCGAGCGGCGGCAGGCAGCCCGCGACGCGCACGCGCTTTTCCGGCCGCGCGGCGACGGCCGCGCGCGCGGCGCGGCCCGCGGCGCCGACGAGCTCCCGCACCTTGGCGTCGAGCGCGTGCGCCGGCACGTCCGCGCAGAGCTCGAGGCAGCCCGGGATCACCGCGTAGGAGTTCGTCGTGATGACCTCGGCGCCCGCGTCGATGTAGGCGACGTGCGCGTCGCGGACGAGGTCCGGCCGCGTCGAGTTCGCGAGGGCCACGCCCAGGAACCGCGCCAGCGTGCCGACCTCGCCCTCGATCTTGATGCCCATGGCCTTGAGCTGGTGGCCCATGCCGCCGTCGAGGACGACCTAGGAGGTGCAGCGCGGTGACCAGTGACTGGGGGGACGTTTCGGGGCAGCCCATTCGCACGGGGCAGCCCATTCGCACGGTTGGTCCTGGGACCAGGCGTTGACAACTCTGGAAGTGAAAAGTCCTTGGGAGCGGACGCGGGGCGCCACGGGCCGCATCGTTTTGGTCGCGAGGGAGGGGAGGGCAGCTTCACAGGTCGACGACGATGGAAGCCAAGGCCCGACGTGGGAATGCACACGAGACGAAGACGGCAATAAAAACAGCTGAATCGATGATGAAGGCAATCAGCTGAAGGTGCTTCTGCGAGAGCATGGAGCGAGGCTGAGCCGCGACGCTCGTGCGGACCTGCTTCGACATCGTGGACGGCTAGAGTGCTTCCAGGACTCGCCGTTGACGAACCCGCAGCTCGTGCCGCTCCTGGCCGAGATGGTCTCGGCCCGCCAGCGCGAGCGCTTGAAGCGCCGCCGCGCGCGCGACAACAGACCCCGCGCCGCGCCGGCGGAGGACGACACACACAACGACGACGAGGAGGACGACCGCGGCGACCGGTTCCAGGCCTACGCCGACTACTACAAGCGGCAGAAGCTCTTCCCGCGCTCCGGCGACCATGTCGCCTTCCTGCGGTCGCTGCGCGCGCCGTTGCCGGCGACCTTCCGGCGCAACGGCCTGCGGCCGGCGGCCTTCGACGCGGCCATGGCGACCTTCGACGCCGTCGCGGCGCGCTGCCGCGGCGACGTCGTCAAGACGCTCGCGAGCGGCGCGTGGTGGCGCCTCGACCTGGGGCGGAGCGCGCTCAAGCACGCGGACGACCCGGCGCTGCGCGCCTTGAACGGCTGGCTCCAGGCCGCGGCGAAGGGCGGCGGCGTCGTCCGCCAGGAGCTCGTGTCCGGCGCGCCGAGCGAGCTCCTCGGCGTCCGGCCCGGCGACGCCGTGCTCGACGTCTGCGCCGCGCCGGGCTCGAAGACGTCGCAGTACTGCGAGGCGGCGCGCCTCGTCGTCGCCAACGACGCGGACCCGCGGCGCGCCTACATCCTCGCGTCGAAGCTCCGGAGTCTGGGCTGCTCCTCGAAGTGCGTCGTCACGTGCCACCGGGGCCAGGCCTTCCCGGCGACGGCCCTCAAATTCGACCGCGTCGCCTGCGACGTGCCCTGCTCGGGCGACGGCACGGTGCGCAAGATCCCGTCGCTGCTCAAGGTCTGGGCGCGGCCCGGCCGGCGGCTGCACGCGCTCCAGCTCCAGATCGTGCTGCGCGGGCTGCGATTGCTCAAGGTCGGCGGGACCATGGTCTTCTCGACGTGCTCCTTCGACCCGCTCGAGAACGAGGCCGTCGTCGCCGCGGCGCTGCGAGCGTGCAAGGGGGCCTTCGTCGTCCGCGACTGCGCGTCCTTGGTCGCGTCGAGCCCGCTCCTCGCGTGCCTCGCGCCGCGGCCGGGCCTCGAGACGTGGGCCGTGCTCGACGACGGCGGCGCCGCGCTCGCCTACGACCCGGCGGCGAAGCGCGAGCGCCGCGCGTCCATGTGGCCGCCGGCCGAGCCGGACATCGCGAGCCAGCTCCCGCGGTGCCTCCGCTTCTACCCGCACGACTCGCGCGACGGCGGCGGCTTCTTCGCCGCCGTCTTCGACAAGGTCGCGGAGCTGCCCGCCGGGGACCCGCGGACGCGGCCGCGGAGGCCGCGCGCGGGCGCGCCCGTCGCGGGCTACCGCGCCCTCGACGCGCATCGCGACGCCGCGGCCCTGCGCGCGGCGCCCCCGGAGCTCCGCGGCCGCCTGCTGACGCGGTCGCCCGCGGGCGCGGCGGCGCGGCGCGTGACCGTCGCGCCCTGCGCCGCGGCGGAGCTCGCGGGCCTCCGCCTCGTCGCCGCGGGGGAGATCCGGTGGTCCCGGCGCGACGACGGGTCCTACCGAGAGGTAGGGAGGTAGAGGGGCGCGGGCCCATGTAATCCGCCCCGACAGCCCCGGCGACCTGGCCCACGGGACTAAGGACCGGGAACCTTGACCCGCGCGCCCCCGGGGCTCGGGACACCTGGGTCCGCCGACTCCGGGGGCGAACCCGCGCGCTCCGGCGACCGCGAGCGGTCCCCCACACGATCCCCCGAGGCGCTCCCGAGCGCTCAAGGACCCGATGGCGTCGTACACGTGTCTGTAGGGGGGGGAAGCCCTTCGCCGAAAGACTGTGGAGAACGGGTCTTTTGGACAGCAGTTGCCGCGCCGGCGCCGCGCGCCGTCGCCGCGCCTCGCCACGGGCGCGCCGCCACGGCCTCGTCCCTCCCGATCAATGGCGCAAACGTTAAGCCGCAAACGTTCGAAAACATCGTCGAAGCCGTTGGCGTCGGTAGTGAAATCGTGGATAGAAGAGAAGGAAGGAACCGCGAATCTTTTTTTTGTGGTGACTGAACCGGACGGGGATCAGATTCGGATTCCGGCTCGTCGCGATTTCATCTCCCATTTCTCCAAAATTGTTAATGACCTTCCAGAAACCGAAAATTCTGAGTGCCCCCTGATCGCATTCGACGCAGAGACGGTCGTCAAGTTCTGTCGCGCGTGTTTGCCGCGCTTGGACGCATTGCCCCCGATAGGCAACTTCCAAAAACTTTGCAAACTGGTCAAATTAGCACACTTCTTGGATGCGCCCCAACTCCTGGATCGCTGGTGGGCTGAGCTGCAACCATATCGGCCAAGGGCTGGCCGCGACTTCATTGCTATTTTCGATCTGAACCTGCCGGGGAAGACATTCACCTTAAATGACCAGTCATTGCGCGATTTTCCTAAGGCATACCTATCGTTAGACGAGACAATCAAGAAAAAGTACGAGAAGAAAGCGTACGAATTGTTTCAACTGGCTTTAGGAAAAGTTCGTAATAGAGACCCCGGTCTCTATTCCAATGGCCCTTTTATTGGTTCCACTGACGCGGAACGTGAAGCTATTATGTTATATAAAATGGTGAAGTGCCTGCTCGAACAGGTTTGTCCGGCATCCACTTAATGAGCTCGCCTCCTTTTCGCACCTTATTCGCGCCGCGCGCGCCTGGGCGCTCGGGCGACGCGCGCGACGAGACCGACGCTGGCCGCGCCAGCCAGCCGAGGGCGGTCGCGTGCCGCGTTACTAAGTAGCGCCGCCGCTCCTATGCCCCGGGCGATCGCGCCTCACTCGTCGAGCGAGGGCGCTGCCGCCGGAATCGGGCGCGCGGAGTGGTCCGACGTAGAGGGGCGCCCGCTTACCGGGAGGGGGGAAGAGAGGGAGGCGCGGCGCCTACCTCGGCTGCTGGAGCGCCGCGAGGAGGGGCTGGAAGTGGGGCTTGGTGGCGACGAGCTGCGTGAGGTGCGTCATGGCGAACGTCTGCGTGTCCGGGATCTCGGCGAAGGCGTCGTCGCTCTTCTGCGTGCCGAAGTGGAGCTTCGAGAAGGTCGCGTCGTAGCCCGCGAGGAGCTCGTCGGGGACGTCGTCGGACCGGTCGATGGTCGCGTCGCCGGCGAGCGCCGCGCCCGCGAGCCGCTTGAGCAAAGCGAAGAGCACGGACCCGAGGCAGGACCACGCGGACGTGTCGCCGTTGGGCGTCAGCGCGTCCGGCGCCTCGGCCAACAGCTTGACGGCGCCGACGGCCGCGGCCTTGGCGTCGACGGCGCTCGCGAAGGCCGCGGCCTCGCCGAGCACGTGCGGCGCGAGCACGTGGACCACCAGCTGCGGCAAGAGCCCGGGCTGCTGCGCGTCGAGCTTCGCGACGAGCTGCGGCGCGCCGTGCTTGCCCGCGAGCAGCCCGAGGAAGGCGAGGAGGTTGTGGCAGTAGCTCAACCGGTCCCGGTTCTGCTGGAGCCGCGTGAGCAGCAGTTGCAGCACCGTCGGCACGTAGCCGTCCAAATTCGCTTGCGGCACGTGCACCACCAGCGACTTCAATAACCCAAAGGCGTGGCCCTCGGACGCCTTGGACGCCAGCAGCTTCTGGAAGACGCCGAGCATGGGCTCGAGCTGCCCCGCGGCGAGGATCTGGTCCGGCCCCGCGACCAGATACGCCTCGAGCAGCGCCGCCAGCGCGGGCACGTTGCCCCGGCGCTCCCAGAGCGACGGGTGCAGCAGCGGCGGCAGGAGCGCCGCGTAGGCGTCCCCCAGACCCGACCGCGGCGCGCGGTAGCCCAGCAGGAGCGCCAATATCTGGAAGACGTAGGGCGCGAACTCCACGACGTCCATCTGGAGCACGGACTGGAACGGCGGGAAGAGCAGGCCCTCGAAGGTCGCCGTCGCGTCCCGGTTCGCCTCGCAGCAGACGCGCACGAGCACGGCCAAGCTCTCGAAGAGGTAGTGGTTGAACTTCGGGTTCCGCGGGTTCGCGCAGACGCGGCCGAGCGACGCGCAGAGCTTCTCCGTCACGACGGCCGCGTGGGGCACGACGTCGGCCTGGCCCACGACCAGCAAGCGCATGACGGCCTTCATGACGTACTCGTTCTCCCAGGGCGCGTCGCCGCCCTTGGCCAGCGCGCCGTCGATGACCGCGAACAACGCCTGGAACAGCGCGGGCAGCAGCGGCGCGAGCTGCGGCCGGTGGATCTTCCCGGGCACCTGCGTGGCATTCGAATCTTCAACCCGACTTCAATGTGAGCGTATTCGAATGTTTTGACACGATCACTTCCGCTGTGCTTCGAGAACTCGATGAGAGCAATCGATTCGTCCAAAAATCAGCCGAATCGACGTCGATTTGACCGAGCTAGAGAATTTCAAAGTTTGGCCCCGACGTCCCAGCTCACTGGTCGAATTCCACACAGCCGGGCACGGCGAGCACGCGCTCGAGGCAGTGGGCCGCGTAGGACTGGACGACGACGTCGCCGTGGCCCAGGTGGCCCCCGAGCAGCGGGAGTAGACGTAATAGCTCGTCGCCGGGGATCTGGTTCCGGAACGTGCACGCGAACTGCACGCAGTCCGCCAGAACCACGCCGTGCGTCGCCGTCGCGCCGCCGAGCTCCGGCGCGACGTGGGCGCTGTAGATCTCGAGGATGTCGAGCTGGTCGCTCATCTTCGACACGCCGCGCGCGGACGACTCCGCGCGGACGGCGAGCGACACGACGAGGTGGAGCGCCGCGTCCTTCGCGCGCCACTCCGTGCCGGGGCTCGCGCCGTAGCGGCCGAGCATGGCCGCGACGTGCTCGCCGCAGATTTTGGTGGTGGTCGCGTCGTGGTGCTTGCACATGGCGTGCACGAGGTCGCGCGCGCCGCGGCGCCGCGTCTCGCTGTCCGCGGACTCGAGATCCCGCGAGATGTACTCGACCGCGTTGTCCTCGAAGAGTTCCACGTCGGAATCGCGCAGCGTCATGTTCGGGATGACGATGGCCTCGACGACCTGGCGCAGCGTCGACTCGTCCGCGAAGAGCGCCGCGTGCATCTGCTGCCCGACGACCTCGGCCAAGAACCGCATCGACGTCGCGGCCAGCCGGTCGTGCTTCGGGAAGAGCGACGTCTTCATGAGCCGCTGCCAGATGCCGGACACGAACTGGGGCAGGTGGGGCTGGAACTCCTCCTCGTACTTGTGCGCGTAGAGGCTCGCGTTCTCGACCTGGGCGGGAAAAGAGTGCGACATTCCCAACTTCAAAGGCTCCGATCTCGGCCGTGTACCACTCGTTTCGGCTGATTTTTGGACGAGCGATCATCTCTCGGAACGGTCTCGAAGCGTGGATGCTGTTTCCGGAACGCGCGCGCGCGGCACACTCACGTTGAAGCGAACTTGAATCACTCTTTTCCCGCCCCGTTCTCGACGACGGCGGCCTGGAGCCGCTCCACGGGGCCCTCGTCGTCGTCCTCGTCGTCGGCGGCCGCGCCCGGCGCCTCGTAGGCGAGGAACTCCTGGAAGGCGCCCATCCAGGGGGCCATGTGGTCCTCGAAGAACTCGGGCAGGTCCTGCCAGTTCAGCGAGAAGAAGACGCGGCACGCGAGGCGCAGCGACTCGAGCGCGACCGCGGACCGCGCCGCGTCGCCCGCGGCGGCGCGCAGCTCCTCGCCCAGCGTCCCGAAGAGCCGCGTCAGCGGCGCCGCGAGCGTGTCGAGCGCGTACTTGAGCTCCGCGTAGAGCGCGTCGGACTTGAAGGCGTAGCGGAAGCGCTTGAGGATCGAGTTCGACGTCAGCAGCATGCCCTGGACCGTCGCGGCGTCGCCGTCGGCGAAGCGCGCGACGATCTCCGGCAAGAGGTTGGGCCACTTGCCCGGGAAGTCCGTGGACGCGATGAGCGTCAGCGCCTGCGACAGCTGCTGCTTCACGTCCCCGAACTTGCCGCACGCGCAGACGAGCGTGACCATGTGGCTCTTGATGGCGTCGCGGTCGCCGGCCGCGACGGGCGTCTCCTTGCTCTCGGGGTCCACGTCCCAGCCCTTCTTCACCAGATTCTTGAAGTAGACCGCCGCCGACGACCGGAGCACGGGCGACTGCGCCGTCGGCGCCGCGCCGCAGTGCTGCTGCACCTGCGAACAAAAAGGGGGTCGCGGGTTCGAAATCGTCGTCCGCGCGCCGCGCGAGAGACGCACCAGCTGGAGCAGGAGCACGGGGAACCCCGCCGTCCGCCGGCAGTTGTCCAAGTAGGCCTCGGCCTGGCGCCGGACCGTCACGTCCGGCGACAGCGTCGCCACGAGCGCGCCCTGGATCTCGTCCGTGTTCATGGCGTCCCTCGGAAGCGCGCGAGGCGCCGCTCGCCCGCCCAACGACCGCCGGCGCCGGCGCAACGAGTCAAGGCGCGCAGGCGATGCGGCGGCGAGAGCTGTCCAAACCGACGCTGCGCTCGACGAGGCCTCTTCGCAAGGCCCAGGGCAGCCCGCGCCGTCGTCCGTCCGGCTTCGTCAGTCGGCGGCAGCGCGCCGACACCGCCGTCGTCCGTCGGCGGCAGCGCGCCGACACCGCAGGCGTCGACCGGTGCGCCTCAGCCGAACCCACCGTGCTCGCGCCCATGTGCCATGTCGACGGAGCGCCTGCGCGCGCGCCTGGCGGCGCGCCGCGCGGCGCGCCCAAGTCGCGGCGACGCCCCAGCCCGGCGGTCCGTCGAAGACGTCCGCCACCTCCTCGCGTCGGCGCCGCCCGACTTCGACGATGAGCACTGGTGCTGGACGACCGTCGCCGTCGGCCCGCCCGTCGGGGACGTCCCGCTCCTCGCGCGGCGGCGCCTCGACGCGCTGTTGACCGGCGACGTCGCGCCGACCGGAGGCGCCGTGTGGCCCGCGTCGCTCGTGCTCGCGCGCGCCGTCGCGGCGGGCCGCGTGCCCGTGGCGGGGAAGCGGGTCCTCGAGCTCGGCGCGGGCGCGAGCGGCGTGCCCGGCCTCGTCGCCGCGGCGGCCAGCGCGGCGGCCGTCGTTATCTCTGACTTTGAGCCCGCGGCCGTCGAGGTCCTCGCGGCGAACGCCGCCGCGTCGCGACGACGGGTGACGGCGGAGCGGCGCGTCTGGGGCGCCGGCGCCGTCGGGCGCGACGTCGACGTCGTGTTGCTGGCGGACTGCGTCCACGCCGGCGAGGCGGCGTCGCGGGACCTCGCGGCGGCGCTCGCCGCGTCCCGGGCCGTCGCCTTCGTCTGCTGGGAGCGGCGGGGCCTCCACGCGCGGTCCGAGGCCGCCTTCTTCTCGGCGCTCGGCGACCGCGACGTGCGCGACGCGAGCGGCCTCCTCGACGACGGCGACCTGGGCCGCTTCGGCCTGCGCCGCGTCGCGCCGCGGACGCCGGAGGGGGCGCCGACGCTCCGGGATGAACACGCGGCCGCGACGCTCCGGGATGAACACGCGCCGCGGCCGCCGCCGCCGCCGCCGCGCGCGCCCGACGCCGTCGCCGTCGTCGACGGCTTCCTCGGGCCCGCCGCGGCCGCGCGGCTCGCCGCCGAGGCGCGGCGCCTGCTGCCGCGCTTCGACGCCCGTCCGAGGACGCGCGAAGACCACGCCGCGGAGGCCGCGGCGGCGCCGTTTCTCGTCGCGCCGGGGCCGGCGGACGGGTCGCGCGACGACCTCGCGCGACCCGTCGACGCCGCCGCGCCGGAGGCGGCCGCGCTCGCCGCGGCGCTCGGCGGCCGCGCCGCGCTCGCGCTCTACCCGCCCCAATCGCGGCGGGCCCGCGCGCCCGCCGCGGCCTACTACTACTTCTTCGAGGACGCGCCGCGCGGCGGCGTCCGCGTCTTCCGCGGCGACGGGTCCGCGGACGACGTCGCGCCGCGCGCGGACCGGCTCCTCGCCGCCCGCGGCGCGGACGCCGCCGTCCTCCCGACGGGCGCGGGCCACCTCCGCTTCGTCGAAATCGCCGTCGACGACGACGGCGCGGTTCCGTGACGGCGGCCCGGTCTCCGCGCGGCGGTACGACGACGACGACCCTTCCGACAGCAACGCCGCGGCCTCTCGAGACACTACTTAGTTGGAACCAGGGGTGCTGTCCCCGGGAGCGCGGCCGCGTCGCCTCCGAGCGCGGCGCGCTGCGGCGCCCGCCTCAGAGGTACTTTTGTACGTTGGACGTCACGGCCTCGATGTTGGCGCCGTTGACGACGTCGACCTTCTCGCCATTTTTCCAAAAGTGGAAGGAGGGCACGGCCCGCACGCCTTCCCGCTTCATGAGGCTGCTCGCCTCGGCGCTGCTGTCGCCGATGACTTTGTAGAAGATGGCGTCGGTGTACTCCTCGCTCATGGCGTTCATCTTCGGCTCCATGACCTTGCACGGGCCGCACCACGTCGTCGCGAAGTCGACGACCATGAGCGAGTCGCCGGCGTCCTGCGGGCGCGCGGGCGTCGGGGCCGCGGCGCGCGCGGGGGGCGACCGGCGGGGACGCGGCGCGCGCGCCTTGACCGCCTTGTCGAAGTCGCCCTCGGACCCGAGGTCCTTCATGCCCTGGAGCGCCGTGCACCGCTTCCTCGACATCCTGCGGACGGCGGCCGTGCGCGCGCGGCGGCGCGATGTTGCCGTAGCGCGCGCGCTCTCCGGCGGCGGCGCGCGCGGCCCCGGACGCCGGCCCGCACGACAGCCCCGAGCCCGACACCTTCGACGCCGGCGTCCAGGCCTGCGCCGACGCCAACAACACCGCCGTCATGATTCCGCGCATGGTTGGTGCGAGGTTAGGTGCCGCGCGATCCGGCCTCAAGCAGAGACGACGACGCGGAGATACAGGCCTCGGGTGCGTCCGACATGGTGAAGTGGCTCGCGGGGGCTGGATCGCCTGCACAAAGCCGCGCGGCGCAACGGACGCTTGGACGCCGACGCCCCGGCCCGCGCGGACCAGCCCCGCGCACACAAAAGGCGGCTTACTCGGCGACGCAGTCCGACGGGTCCGGGTCGTTGCCGTCGCCGACGGCGCCGGCGGCGTCGTCCGGGCCGTCGCAGACGTACTTGCGGCCCGTGGCGAAGACGTCCGCGTCGATGACGACGTCGTCGAAGACGAGGTCCGCGCAGGGCTTGGAGGCGTTGCAGCGGACGACGGCGGCGGACATGGGCCAGGTGCCGCCGTGGGCCTTGACGTCGGAGAAGGTGACGCCGGAGACGGCGACGCGCGGCTCCGTTTGCGCCCAGATGCCGCTGCCCGAGCCGTCGGGCTCGAGCTGCTGCTGCGTGCCGAGGAAGAGGGGCCACTCCATGCAGAAGTAGTTCTTCGCGGAGCAGGCGTAGGTGTGCTCGAGTCTGCGCGACGCCGCGTAGGCCGCCGTCGCCTCGGCGTCCGCGGCCGCGACGTCGGCGAGGAACCGCGCGCGGACGGCGCGCGCGCCGTCGAGCGCGCGCGCGCGCGCCGACGCCTCCAGCGCGGCCCAGCCCGGGGGCTCGGCGTCGGGCACGGCGCGCGTCATCTTGATGGAACGATAGACGACGTCGCTGATCGTCGCCGCGCAGTCGTCGAAGCCCAAGCCGTCGCAGTCCGAACCGGCCAAGTCGGGCTTCACGTAGGGCCCCTTCGTCGGCTGGTAGAGCACGATGTCCTCGAACAAGACGCCGTCGACGCAGGGCTTGCGCGTCGACGGGTGCACGGAGCCCACCGAGAGGCCCGCGCCCCGATAGACCGTCAGGTTCCGCACGGTGACGTTCCGCGTGCAGTCCTCGCCGAACGCCTTGGGCAACCCGTCGTCGCCGAGCGAGTCCGCGGGCTTGACGGCGATGACGTCGTCCCAGTTGGATATGACGCTGTCCTCGACTAGGATGTCCGCGCCCGCGACGTCGATCCCGTCGGTGTTGAAGGGAAACATGGGCAGCTCGAGGCCGAGGGCCTCCGCGCGGCGCCGCGCGGCGGCCGCGGCCGATTGCTGCGACTCCCAGTCGCAGAGAATCGTCACGCCGCGCACGCGGACGTTCCGGCTGAAGGCGCCGAAGAAGACGTTGAACCGCGGGCTGTCCAAAACCGCGAGGCCCTCCAGGACGACGTCCGAGCAGCCGTTGACCTCGAGCGCGAGGGGCCGCTTCTGCTCGAGGCGGTTGAGCGCGAAGGACCACCACCAGTGGTGGCCCTGGCCGTCGATGGCGCCCGCGCCGGAGACGCGGAGGCCCTCGCAGTCCTCGAACTTGAGGATCGACCGGAAGTCGTGGCCGTCGAGGGGCCACTTGTCGTAGCCGCTCGAGCTGCAGTCGTGGCCCGCGAGGGCGCCGTCGACGCGCAGGGACACGCCCTTGAGGTTCACGAGCGTGCAGCAGGGGATGACGTCGAAGCGTAAACCCGCGGGCACGACGACGACGTCGCCCGCGGACGCGTTCTTGAGCGCGTAGAAGAGGGCGTAGCCGTTCGCCGCGGCGCTCTCGCTGTCCGTCGTCCCCGCGACGGCGCCGTGGGCCTCGATGGAGAACTCGGCGGCGCTCGCGACGGACAGCAGCAGCGCGAGGGCGAGGGTGCGCATGGGCCACGCGGGCCGCGCGGACTTGTGCATGGGCGCGCCGCGCGGCAGCGCGTCGGTGCGCGTCCGAGCACAGCGGCGCGCGCCATCGCGCGAACGTGTGCGCGCTTGGGACGTCCACATCGGAACGCCGAAGTGCGAAGACGTCTTCGCGGTGCACGTCGAAGGCGTCTTCGGCCGCTGCACTTCCGTGCGCATCGCCACGGCGCCATCGGCGCCACTCGCCAGTGGCAAATTTGCAACTCAACGCGTGGCGCCGCCCGACGCCCCCTGATCGTGCTAATGAAGACACGCCACGCCCGCGCTGTGGCCCAGAACCGGGCGGTCGCGGCGGTGAGCGAGGACCTGTGGCAGGAAGTCTTCCTCTTCTTAGAGTTCTACGAAACTGGCGCGCCGGCGCGGGCCGCGAAAGCGCTTAATAATGCGGCGCAGCGTGATGGCCTGTGGAACGCGTTCGCCGCGCGCGACGAGCCGGATCTCTGGTGCGCGATCGGCGGGTCCGGTCGCGAGCGTTTTCGGCGTGCGACGATGCTCGAGTTTTACGGGGACATAAACTTTGAGCCACATGGACCAGACTTCCGTGAAGATTTGGATTGTGAATTGACGGTGGTCGTCACCGTCACACAGGCCAATAGCGACATCGACAAGCTTGGTGGCGACGTCGTCTTCCTGGCGCGATTCCCATACGTGCCGGCGACGGACCCTATGGGTATAGATCCGGACATGATCAGCCTGCAAATCGGCACCGAGAACGAGCACGGGATGAAATGCTGGACCGACACCGCGACGATCCCGGAGATCAAGGTCCCATTCACCGCGTTGCCTGGAGAAGCGGCCAACTGTAGTCCTATTCCGGATCGCGAACTTTATATCACGTGGATGTTCGAAAAGCCGGACGGACGCATCGCGAAGCTCCTCCAAATGGTGTCCTTGGACATGAAGTCGCGGGATTGTGCGAGTTCTTGGAACGATCCCTACTTTTCGCTCGTCACGTTCTACCGACGGACGATCAATCTCGAAGATCCTATGTGGCGCTTCGAAACCAACCTCACTGTCTCGTTCCCGATGGGCCCCGACCCCACGGGCCTCGTCGCCGACATTCAGCTTCGCGCCGCAAACTGGGAGGAGGAAGAATATGCACGAACAAAGGATTCAGAAGAGCAGGCGGCGAACTTCGATCAGCGCGTGGACAACGTCATCCCCGCGTTCCGAGATATCCTGTCGCGCCTCGAGTGGCTGTAAGTTCCGCCTCGCGAAGATCTATCTGAATGTACAAGGGGGTGTTATGAACAAGAGCGGGCGAGCACTAAGCCTGCGCCGTCGCCGACGAGACCGAGTCGCCGCCGCCGAGGAGGAGCGGCGGCGCGGGCACGAGGATCGGCGGCGGGATCTTCGCGCCGTCGGGCGGCGTGAGGACGCAGCCGTCGTCGGTGCACTGGTGGATGAATTTGCGCCAGGTGTCGTCCTCGCGGAGCGTCGCCGGGTCGCCGACGAGGACGACGGCGCGGCGCGCGCGCGTGAGCGCGACGTTCATGCGGCGGTCGTCGCGGACGAAGCCCAGCGTCCTGCGCGCGTTGGACCGCACGGTCGAGATGATGATGACGTCCTTCTCGCGGCCCTGGTAGGCGTCGACCGTGTTGACCTCGACGTCGCCGCCGCCGCCGGCCGCGAGCGCGTCCGCGATCGCGCGGCGCTGCGCCGCGTAGGGCGTGATGACGCCGATGTCCTCGGCGCGCAGGTCCGACGTCGCGAGCAGCGATGCCACGACGCCCACGAGGGCGTCGAGCTCGGGCTTGTTGAGGAACGACGCGCCGCCCGCGCTCGTCTTCGTTTGGTCGGACTCGCGCTCCTCGTTGCCGCCCGAGCCCGCGGGCGCGGGCACGGGCAGGATCGCGATGGGCTTGTTCCGGTTCGGCCAGTCGATGCCCGCCGGCGGCGGCCTGCTCGCGCGCTCGCGCGCGACGGCGCCGTGCGTCTTCACGCGGCCCCCATAGAAGCGCTCGCTCGAGAACCGGTTCAGCGCGGGGTGCATGCGGTACTGGGTCGTGAGCAGCGCCGGCGGCACGCCGGCGTCCGCGAGGCGCTGGAAGAGGCTCACGGGCAGCCCGCCCGCGGCGGCCTCGCGGCTCAGCACCGTCGGGGGTAATTGCTTGTTGTCGCCGACGAGGATGAGCTGCGAGCACGCGCGCGCGCAGGCGATGGGGACCAAGCACGCGGGCTCCGTCGCCTGGGCCGCCTCGTCTAATAACACCAACCCGAAATCCAGCGGCGGCGGCGGCTTCCTGCCCCGCGCGTCGACGAGGAACGGCGCCAGGGCGTCGCAGCCCGCGCCGACCGTCGTGCACACTACGACGTCCGCGGCGAGCAGCGCCTCGCGCTGGAGCTCGTCGCGCGCGCCGGGCTTGTTTAAGTCGAGTCCATTCTCCTTGGCCAGCGCGGCGAGCTTCGCGTCGAGGCACGCGGGCCGGAGCGCCTCCCGCGTCGCCGCCGGGTGTCCCACGCGGACCGCGGACACGTTCAACGCCAGCAGCGCCTCGAGCAGGTTGTCCGCGGCGACGTTCGACGCCGCGCAGGCCAGCGCCCGCCGCGTGGAGAAGCCCCGCGGCGCCCGCCCGCGCTCCGAATCCCGTAAAACGACGGCGGCCGCGAGCGCGGCGGCCGCGGTCCGCGTCTTGCCCGTGCCCGGCGGGCCCTGGATGAGGCTCAGGCGCCGGCCGATGGCGCCCGCCGCCGCCGCGGCCTGGGCGGCGTCGAGGGGCGCGTCCGCCGTCGCGGCTCGGACCGCGGCGCGCGCGGCGCCTTCCGAGGGCGCTTTTCGGCACAAGCCGCCCGCGCGCGCGGTCGCGAGGGCGACGACCTCGTCGCGGTCGTCGCGCACGAGGGCGCGCCGCAGCTCGAGGACGACGTCGTCGTCGGCGTTGAGGCGCCGCGCGTCGAGGTAGCCCGACGACCCGGACGTTAAGGCGTCCACCGCCGCGTCCATGCGGTCGTAGCTCACGCCGGAGAAGTACATGTCGAGGCGCAGGGGCGGGCCCGACGCCAGCCTGTCCGCGGCGCTCGCCGAGCCGACGACGACGTCGACGTGGCGCGGGCCCCGCGCGAGCACCGTGCCCTCGACGCCGCCGCCGGAGCCGCCGGAGGGCCGCCGCTCGCTGACGAGGCAGAGGTCGCCGCCGGTGAAGCGGTGGTGGGGCAGGGGCGGCGGCGCCCGGTCGCCGCGCGCCCGCGGCAGCTCGAGGCGCACGACGGGGCGGCCGAAGAGCGTCGCGCGCGGCAGCCGCGTCGCGCCTAAACCGACGACGGCGACGCCCTCGTCCAGGAGGCGCGCGTCGCTCCACTCCTCGAGGCGCTGCTTCGCCGCCCGCTCCTCGGCCTCGCGCTCCCAGCGCAGGAGGCCCCGGAGCCGCGCCGCGTAGCTCGCCTCGGCCTCGCGGCTCGCGATGAACTTCGCCGCCCGCCCGCGGCCCGTCCGCGGCGGCCGCGACGCCGTCGACGCCAGGGGGTCGCAGCGCCGGTGTTGTTGTGTTCGCGCGGGCTGCAAGGCGACGGCGCCGCACGCGCAGAGCGCCAGCGCGAGCCGCATGGGCCGGCAACGGTAGCCTCCCATCCCTTCGGCAGATTCGTCTTTTGGCACAGGTGCGTGGTGTCAAACTTGAGCCATCTTGTGGCGGAAAAAAACGCGCGGGCCGCATCGGTCCGCGGCCTGCAGCCGGGAGACCGCGGTGTCGCGCGAGCGCTCGCGTTCGTGTGCCGAATTTCCTGCGAAAACGAGCTCGATGTGTCCCGGTATCGGCCGGCGAGAGGGCGCGCGCGCGCCGGTGCGCGCGCGCGGGCTCGATCCTCGCGAAGCTGCGTCTGCTTCCCAAGGCAGCAGCCGGAGAGTTCACGCGCGGAAGCATGTACGACGCGCGGCGCCGGCTCATTTGCCCTTCAACATGGTGATTCAGTCCTCAGGCTCGATCTCAACATGGCTCGGCTTCTGACGGCTTTGGCCGCGCTCACCGCGGCGGCAGCCTTCGCGCCGCCAGCAGCGCAACGCGCGGCGACGCGCCTGCGCGCAGAGCCGGACGCGCGAAACCTCGACGCGCCGCGCGCCCTCGACCGCCGCGCCGCCGCCGCGGGCCTCGCGGCGGCGGCGGCGGCGGCGGCGGCGCCGCGCGCCGTCGCGGACCAGGTCGTCTCCGCGTCTGCCATCCAGAAGACGAAGGGCGGCGTCAAGTACGTCATCGTCAAGGAGGGCAAGTGCCCCAACGCGGACCCGACGGGCCTCGCGGGGTCGTGCGTGCCGACGAGCGGCTCGTTCCTGTGTGGAAATCAAATCTTCAACCCGACTTCAATGTGCGCGTATGCGACCGTTTCGGCGCAAGGCTTTCTGATGTGCTTCGAGAACTCGACGAGAGCAATCGATCCGTCCAAAAATCAGCCGAATCGACTTCGATTTGACCGAGATAGAGAGTTCTGAAGTTTGGTGGGGACCCCCCAAACCAGTGGTTGAATTCCACACAGGCTCGTTCTGCATCATCGACTACACGGGCTTCCTGCCGAGCGGCGAGGTCTTCGACTCGACGGAGAAGAAGGGCGGCAAGCCCCTCGCCTTCCGCCTCGGCGACAAGCAGGTCATCGTCGGCATCGAGCAGGTCGTATCGCAGATGAAGCCGGGCGAGGAGGTCCAGGCTTTGGTGCCCGCGGAGCTCGCCTACGGCGAGAAGGGCGTCTGCACGGAGGGGGGCGAGTGCCTCATCAAGCCGAACATGAACCTGAAATACTTCATCCGCCTCAACCGCGTCGCGCAGGCCGCGGGGTAACCGCGGCCGGCGTCGCGAGGCGCGCGCGTTGGACGATAAGCCCGGCGTCGATGTTGCGCCTGAGTCGAGCTCGGGGGGTGGCCTGGAGCGGGCGAGGGTGCTCCTGTGGTCGTGCGCGGTTCCCGCTCTACGCGAGTAGCCTGGGAGTTCACCAAAAAAAATGCAACGTGTTTGCCTTTCCCACGCAACCACCGAAACGACGTCCGCGACGGGTAACCCGGAAGCGGTTGTCTTGCCGACGGGGGCAGCCCCCGCCATGGGCTCGGCGGCGTCCTGCGCGGCGCGCGTCGTCGTCTTCACCTACCCGAAGATGCTCAAGCTCGCGAAGCGGAAGCGGCGGGCGCCGGCCCTCACCGACGGCGAAGCGCCGCCGGAGGCCACGGCCGTGGAGCCGGCGCCCGCCGTGCGCGTGCCGCCCATCGCGCTGGGCGAGCGCGAGGCCTACGAGGAGGGCATGGAGACGACGCCCAAGTCCGCCGCGAAGCGCGAGTACGCCTACTTCTGCCCCATCTGCATGCGCCACTTCCGCGCGGTCTTCGAAACCCAATGCTGCCGGAACTACGTCTGCCGCGGCTGCGCGCGCGACTTCGTCGGCCGCCACGAGCGCCTCGCGGCCAAGGCCCACCTCCACGACGGCGAGGACGGCCTGGGGCCCCTGCGGTGCCCGGCCTGCAACGTCGAGAAGTTCGCGCTCGTCGCCGCGCGCGGGCCGGTGAGGTCCTACGACGACGACGACGGCGTGCCCGTCGCGTCGCTGGACTCGCCCGTGCGCATCGGCGACTCCTACGAGACCCTGCGGCGCAAGATGCTGTCCTACGAGGAGACGGGCTGCTGCCGGGACAACGTCCGCAAGCTCTTCGCGGACGGCGACGGCGACCCTGACGGCGACGCGGCCGCCGCGGGCGCCGGGTCGCCGCCGCGGGCGGCGGCGGAGCCCATCTCCGACGCCCAGGCCTTCGCGCGGACCTTCGTCATGCCCATCCTCGCCGCCTAGGACGCCGCCGCCGCCGCAGGAAGAGCTCCGCGGCGGCGCGGCGCGCGACGAGAACGATCGGCGCTAGAGGGGAGGATCTAGATGACATGCTCATCATCGCGGCCGCTCCGAGGCTCGATTTTATGTCCGAGGGCTCCATTTACATCACTCCTCGCCGCCGTGGCGGTCCATGATCATCACGTCCGGGCTGTGCGGAGCACCGGGTGAAACCGCACTTTCAGATGACTTGCTTTTGCAGCCATATTTGTAGCAGCATTTGCAGCAGCACCAGATCTCCTCTATACACCATGTCATCGTTGTTTTTGCGAGAAGCTCCAAGTACTTCTCCCGTGGATACGTGCCGTGCTCCACGCCGACCGTGCCGTAGATTGACGACTTTCGTCGACGTCGACGATGGTAGGATCCGCGTGAGGGCAGCCCATCGCGGAGAAACGCACGCGCACGCGGAACGCTCGCGAGAGCACCGCCGCTGCGAAAGAGCGCCCGTCGCGTCGAGCAGGCACCGCGGACAGGCCGAGCGCACCACAGCGTCGTCGACGACGATGCGGGCGCGCTGGCTACTGCTGCTCTCCTGCGCCCTCGCGCAGAACACGGACGCGCCGACGGTCACCTACGCGCCGACGCGCACGAAGGCGCCGACGCCGGCGCCGTCGGCGCGCGCCAAGCACCCGTCGTTCGCGCCGACGAAGGAGCCGACGCCCGTGACGTGGTATCCTTCGGCCTTCGACCCGACGGCCGCGCCGACGACGGCGACGCCCTACCCGACGACGAAGCCCACGAACCCGGACGACTCGACGCTCAAGACCGACGACGACGCCATGTCGACGCGCACGATCGCGTTCATCGTCGTCTGCGTCGTCGTCTTCGTGGGCTCCATCTTCGGCGCCTACGCCATCAAGCTGCGGCGGGAGCGCATCGCGGCGGAGAAGGCCGCGGCGGAGGCCGAGCCGCTCTTGAAGTGAGGGGGTCCTAAGGACCGTGTCGCGGCGCCCGAGACGTCGCCCGAGCCCCCGCCTGGCGGCCGCGGAAGTCGACCCCCGGCGAGGATCCTCTACGTTGGCTCCTGCTCGATGGATGTGATGATCATGGGCGGGCAGCCCCCGCCGTTCGCGATGATCGTCTAGAGGGCCGCCGCGGCCGACGCGCCGCGCCGCGCCATGGGCGACGACGCCGCCGCCGAGCTGGCGCGCTTGAAGGCGCAGCTCCAGGAGCGGGACACGGAGCTCGAGCGCCTCCGGGCGCTCCTCGCCAAGCAGGGCGCTCTCGGCGACGTCGACGGCGGCGCCGCGGGGGACGGCGCGGCGTCGGCGCCGCCGGCGCCGCCGCCGGCCGCGCCCGCGGCCACGCCACCGACGCCGCCCGCCGCGCCCGCGCCGGAGCCGCCGGCTCCGCCGCGCGCGTCGCCGGAGGAGGAGGCGGCCCGGGACGACGCGAGCGGCCCCGTCTACGACGGGCTCGCGTCGGCGGGCGCGTCCTACGTCGACGGGCGCGCGCTCTTCTCGCGCGAGGAGTCCAAGGACGTCTACGACGCGGAGTCGGGCTCGCCGGGGGGCGCCTACGACGCGGAGTCGCCGGCGAGCGCGCGCGCGTCCTTCGAGGGCGGCTGGGCGACGCCGACGGGCCGCCTCGGCGTGCGGCCGAGCCTCGGGTGCATGGACGAGCTCGCGATCCCCGCGAGCCTGCTCATCGACAAGCGCGCCGTGCGGCTATTGGGCCGCGTCGGCCGGGGGTCGTTCGGGGAGGTCTGGCGCGGCGAGTTCCGCGGCGGGCGCGTGGCCGTGAAGCTGTTCCTGAGCCGCGAGGACGTGTCGAGCGAGGTCGCGCTCCTCTCGCGCGCGTCCGGCCCGCACGTCGTCGAGTTCCTCGGCGTCGTCATCGAGCGGGAGGACCCGTACAAGGAGCCCCAGGTCGCCATCGTCAGGGCAGGACAAGGGTGATTCAACGTCGCTTCAACATGAGTGTTCCGCGCGCGCCCGTTCTGGAAAAAGCATCCACGCTTCGAGACCGTTCCAAGAGATGATCGCTCGTCCAAAAATCAGCCGAAACGAGTGGAAAACGGCCGAGATAGGAGCCTTTGAAGTTG